GATGTGTTTATTATTTTTTTCATAATTTTATCTACTTTCACATCATATTGATCTTTTTTATAGATAGTGAAGACTGGTAGGTGGTCACTGACATCCGTGATCAAAATGCCACCCATAAGTTCTTTATTTGTTATATTTGTAAAAATGTTGTCAATCATTGAAGCACTATGGGTAGTAATTCTTGTGGGTTTTGAAATCAATGGATAAAGATTTAAACTGTGCATTTGGTTTATGAATGTTCCGATATTATTTGAGTCTGTTTTATTTCCCAGGTCTATGTTAAAATCTCCACACAAAAAAACTGATTTATTAGAACTTTTTTCCAATACTGTCATGATGTGATTGGTGAATGATTCAATATTTGAATCAGGTGATCAATATACGCAACTTATCATTATATTTTTGGAAGTCTCGTTTAATATTTCAACTGTAATCATTTCCATAATGTTATCCACAGCTACTGACAATTTATTGATCATTTTACATTTAATTTCCTTATTCACAAGTAGAGCTACGCCTCCACCTCATTTATTGTTTCTGTTCACATGATAAAGTTCATACCCTTCAATATTAACACTTTTATATATTTTCTTCATTTAGCCATGTTTCTGAGACTGCTATTATACTGAAAGTTCTAACAGTTCTAACACATTATTATTGTTTTTTTTTAAAGAAAACTTTATTTACCAAAAAACAAATACAAGCAAGTAACTCTAAAAAGGGTATAACAGAGGCAGACTTCGATAAGAACAAAACAGAAGAAATAAAATTAAAGAAACTACAACAAGGGGGTATATGTTTTATAAGATAGAACTTTATTGATCCCGCAGGTAATTGTTGTGCCAGAGTTTCAGTAAAGGAACAAACAAGGATGTGTGTGTGTGTGGCAAGGGCGTCAGAAGCATCCGTAATGTGTAGGGGGGGGGGGGGCAATGTTGTGTGTAGGTGTGTGTGCGTGCAAAGAAGTGTACACTACCGTACAAAAAAGCAGCATTTCACCTATATTTCCTTTAATTCCACACATTTACAGCATGTTTCTCATCAAGTTTGTGTAAATTCAGCTGTGAGTTTTAAAGACATTTTAACTTTAATACACTTTAATACAGAGCCTCAGATCAGCATTATTTGTCTTTATAGAGAAAAAAAAAAAAAAA